TCACTCCGTCTGGAGCACGAGCCCCGCCTCGGAGAGCAGCAGCTTGTTCTGCACCTCGGTAGCCGTCGTCGCCGTCGCCGTCGCCGTCGTCGTCGTGGGTCGCACACATGATGAGTCCAGGCTCTTTGACTTGTTGGACCCTTCTGAAGCCTCCGGGGGCCTCTGGTAGCCTCTCGGGACTCCCAGAGAGCCCCGCAAACCCCCGTTCAGGGCACAACGGAAGCCCTGAGCCTGAGTGGGATCCGTGGGATCCTGTGTTGCTGATTGCCGTTGCCTGCTGCCGATTGCGGCTAATCGCTGCTGCCGCTTGGTGCTGTCTGCTACATGCTGCCTGCCTGCTTGCCTACCTGCCTGCCTGCCTGCCTGCTTGCCTGCCTGCCTGCCTGCCTGCCTGCCTGCCTGCCTGCCTGCCAGCCTGCTTGCCGCTGGTGCCGGAGAGCCTCGGGACGCCCTTTCAAGATTGCTAGCGACTCACGAAGCGGCGTCTCGAGCGACGTCGACTGGCCACCTCACCGATATTCCCCGATCCTGGCGGGGTTTCTCCTGAGCGCAAAACCAATGCCCAAACTCTCCTAGATCGGCCAGGGAAGCGTAGTGAAACACCGATACTGGACCCAGGACGGGCCCAATCGGCATCGGGAAATCCTCAATTGACATCGCGTCGCGACTCTCTGGTTTGGACGCTCGAGATGTGTGCTTACATCTAAAAGGGGTAGGATGCCCAACAGCAGAAGTTGTCCAAAACCGACAGCGGCCGCTGCTGGGCAGGCGCCCTCATGTCTCAAATGTACAACGTCCGCGGCGACACTGGCAGCGAGTCCTGTTCGCAGTGGACAAGAACTGCTGTCGGTCTTCCTACCCCTCATGTCCGCACCCACTTCGATCGTGCCGATCTGGGCTCCGGCGCCTCCATCTGCGCCAGGCCGGCAGTGAACTCGGCCTGAGTGAAGGCGCCCTCGCCGGCCTGGAGCCCAGCGTTCACTGCCTCTAGGAGGAGGCCGAGGAAGGAGACGGGGAGCGGGAGGGAGGAGGAAGCAGGGATCGAGGGATCGAGGGAGGACAACGCGGGCCCCAAAAGGCCCGACCGCGCGGCCCCGCGCCGCGCACTTCAGCGCGCGTGGGGCCGCCAAGCCAGCGGGTGCTCGCAAGCGGCCGCCTCGCCGACGGGCCCTGCCCACATAAAACAAGACTGGCTCCACCCATCGACGGTCCCCCCTGCACGCCACCGCAGGCCCTCGTCGGCGGCATGGCACGGCGACCCCGCCAGCTCACGCCCTGGGTCGAGCAGCGGCGGGACGCCGAAGTCGCGTCACATCTGCTCGCACGCCTCCGTGCCAACGGCCCTAGGATCGGGCGCTGGCGGGGCGACAACAGCCATCGCGGCCGTGGCAGCGGCGAAGTCCTGGAACAGGGCGCCCACGTCCACGTCCGCCACGTCGTCACGCCTGGCCTCGACGCGGGCTCCGAGGGGCGCCTCGCGCTCGAGCCAAGGGCGGACCAGCCCGTTCGGTCGTCCTGGCCGCGACTCCACCGCGCACGCGAGCCGTGGGGCTTGCTGCGGGCTGCGTCCTGCGTCGGCCCGTCATTGCCGCCGTCGCCGAGGTCGGCGGACGCGGCTTCGGGGAAGCACCACTCCACGCGGCCGAAGTGGACTCGTCGCGTCGTGCCTTGGGCTCCCCCTCGATCATCTCCTGCATCCTGAGCACCACGATCCATCGCAGCCAGCGCGGCGTCGACCCACCCGGCCTTCTTCTCTACCTCTTTGAGCTGCTCCTCCAAGGCGCAGGCCAGCGCCGCCGTGCCGACCGCGTCGCCGTCGAAGTCGCTGTCGCCGTCGAAGGTGGAGCCGAGCTCGTGGAGGTCGTGGTGCTCGTCGAGGTCAGGGCCCAGGGGGTGCTCACGCAAGGACTCGTAGTCCAACCGAGCTACCTCCCCACTGGCACCCTTGTCAGGTCGGCCCAGGGAGTGCTCCCGCGAGGACCCTGCGGCTGCAGGATCCAGCCGAGCTACCTCCCCCCTGGCACCGCCTTCGTGCTCTGGTCGGCTCAGGGAGTGCTCCCGCGAGGACCCGGCGGTGGCAAAGTCCAGCCGAGCTACCTGCCCTACCTCCCCCTGGAGCCGCCTTCTCGGGGAGGCCAGGGGTGCTCTCGCGAGGGCCCTGTCGGAAGGCCCAGCCGAGCTACCTCCCCTGCCTCCCCTGCTGCCGTAATGTCAACCCCGCCAGCGTCATCGTCGAAGAGCCCGTCGTAGGAGCGGGAGCGGCCGTCGCACTTGTCGAGGACGTAGTCGCCGTCGACGCCAGGCTGGCCGCCATGCTCCTCCAACTCCCGCGCCGTCGAGGGGGCGCAGGGCTCGCGGGCATGCTCCGCCTCGCTCGCGCCCTCGTGAGGCATGGCCTCACCGACAGCCTCCGCCGCGGCGTACGCTGCAGATGACGGGAGGTTGACCATCGCCTGCCTCGTCTCGCTGTCCTGGGTCCTCTCGGCCTCTGCAGAGGGCGCAGCCGCCTCGCTGGGCCGCCGCGCGGGGCGCGCTCGCCTTGCGAAGGCTGCTGCCGAGGCCTTGACCGCGGCAGTGGAGTAGCTGAGGCAGCGGATATCCTCCACTGGCAGGCCCGAACACCCGCGATGCCGTGGTCGCCACGTCCAGGGCGGGCGCAGCAGGCGCGGCAGGCGGCGCTGGCTTCTCAGCCCTGGCCTCCGCACGGCGCCGCAGAGCGGCGCGCACCGCCTCGGTTGCTGCCGCCTGCAGGCGGGCGCGCAGCACGAACTCCAGGGCGTCGCAGCGCATCCGCGTGCAGCCGTCGTCGGGAACGGATGGGAGGTTGCACTTCACTTCCGCCTGCTCCACCTGCTGGGTGACCACGATCGACGGAGCCTCGGGTGACACGTGCGCGGGGCTTTTTCGCCGCCGCCTCCTGCGCGTCCGCGCCAGGGGCCCGCAACGCCCCGAGCAGCACGTCTACGTCCGCCGCGCTCCCGTAGTCCAATACGGAAGGGTAAAAGACCTCCGCCTCTGCCCGCAGCTCGCATGGCGGCCTGGGCAGCTCTCTTAGCAGCTCGCTGACAGCCACCGTGGGATCGCGCCGCACCGCTGACCACTGCCTGCGGGGTGTGGCTCGGGAGGCCTGCAGGTAGCGGAGGACCTCATCGCGGGCGTCGCGACGCCGCCGCCTCGCCATCCTTCGCGCCGTCGTCGAACCATATGCCCGAAGATCTCGCTCGCGTAGAGCTGCAGGCCGCCACTAACTCGGGCAGCCCCCCTGTGCCATGTGTACGTGTCTTCGCTTCGCTCCGAAGCAGCAACGCGCCCGCCAGAGGAGCAACATCACCCATGGCCGCGCGACCCCAAGACCGCCTCGCGGAGGCTCGGAGCGGCCCGAAGGTGCCTCGGGGGGGCACGTTCGAGCCTAAACGGTTCTTGGGGAGGAGGAGGGAGGAGGAGGAGGAGGAGAAGGAGGAGGAGGAGGAGGAGGAGGAGGAGGACGGAGCGAGGGAGCGAGGAGGAGGAGGCGGAGGAGGAGGAGGAGGAGGAGGAGAAGGTGAAAGGGAGCAAGGAGGAAGGAGGAGGAGAAAGGTGAAGAGGAGGACGGAGAGGGGAGGGAGGAGAAGGCACGAGGAGGCGTTCACCGCCTCGAGGAGGGTGCCCTGGTCGAGCTGCTGCTCCTGGGAAGCGCGGCGCAGCGGCGGGCGGGGGGCGAGCGGGAGGAGCGGCAGGGGCGCAGGAGAAGGGCGGGGCAGAGGGCCCCCCCACGCTCGCAGGACGTCCTCCGAGGATGGAGGGAGAGCCCGTGCGGGAGGAGGTGGACGAGGGGGGAGGGAGCGAGGAGGGAGGACGAAGGGGGAGGAGGGGGAGGGGGAGGAGGGCGGAGGCAGAAGCAGGGAGGAGGGAGGAGGGAGGAGGGAGGAGGAATGAGAAAGGAGGATGAAAGGGAGCGAGGATGACGACGAAGGAGGAGGAGGAGGAGGAGGAGCAGAACACGCTGCGGGCGGATCGCCCCCACAGCCTGACTCAAAAAAGGCAGAGGAGGGGCAGGAGGACGAGAAAGGGGAAGTGTGGGAGGAAGGACGAGGCGGAGGCGGAGGCGGAGGCGGAGGCGGAGGCGGAGGCGGAGGCGGAGGAGGAGGAGGAGGAGGAGGTGGAGGAGGAGGCGGAGGAGGAGGAGGAGGAGGCGGAGGAGGAGGAGGAGGGAGGAGGAAGATGAACGGGAGGGGGGGGAAGGAGTAGGAGGAGCGAGGAGGAAAGAGAAGGAGATGAAGAAAGAGGGGGAGAGGAGGAGGAAGAGGAGGACCAGCGCAATGCCAAGACGCATCAACGATGACGAAATAAACATTCCCTCTAAGTCTCCCCTTCATAACTCCGTAGTAACAACAAAAGATCGCCACTTGAGCAAATGCCCCATCGGAAGACAACCGTATGAGAATCCTCAGTCGCGCCCGAACATTCCTGGGACTTCAGCATAGCGAATAAACGTAACTGCTACGTCGTGATAGTCCTAAATCGCGCCAGAACAGCAGACCTGGGACTTCAACACAGCGAATCAACGTGACTGTTGCGCCGTGACAAATCTAAACAATGCCAGAACACCGTTCCTGTGACTTTGCATCCAAGCCCTGACCGAACTGATCCGGATCTTAAGCTCGAGCTATCTGGGCACATAGTAGCTGCCCCAGAACTAATTGACAAGGGGACATGCCAGGGGAACGCGCCGCGGAACGTCCCCAGGGACGCGCCAAGGGACGTGCCAAGGGACGTGCCATGGGGACGTGCCATGGGGACGCACCGCGGGTCGTGCCAAGGGGACGCGCTACGGAACGTACAAACTTACGTGCCACGGGACGTGCCAAGGGACGCGCCGCGCGGCCACGGAACGTGCCAGGGAACGTGCCAGGTGACGCGCCAGGGAACGTGCCAAGGAACGCGTCAGGGAACGTGCCACGGGACGTCCCTACCCAGCGCCAGGGCGCCACGATACGCCCCATGGACGGGCGGGGTTGGACTGCGACGCACTTTACTGCGACAAGCGTTTCGCACGAGACATCCTCAGCAAATCCTCATGTTAGACATCCGCCTGGGCGAAATGGACGCGTGAAACCAAGCGTCTCGCTCGAGACGTTCTCAACACATCCTCATGCTAGACATCTGCCTGAGCGGCCTGGACACGTGAAGACAAGCGCTTCGCTCAACACATCCTCAGCACATCCTCATGCTAGACATCTGCCTGGGCGACCTGGACACGCGAAAACGAGCGTCTCGAACGAGACATCCTCCGAACAGCTTCATGTTAGACATCCGCCTGGGCGACCTGGGCACGTGAAAACAAGCGTCTCGCTCAACACGTCCTCAACACATCCTCATGCTAGACATCCGTCTGGGCGAGCTGGACACGTGAAAGCAAGCGTCTCGCTCGAGGCATCCTCAACACATCTTCATGTTAGACATCCACCTGGGCGACCTGGGCACGTGAAAACAAGCACTTCGCTCGAGACCTTCTCAAGACCTCCTCATGCTAGAAACCTGCCTGGACGACCTGGACACGTGAAAACAAGAGTCTCGAACGAGACATCCTCAACAAAATCCTCATCTTAGACATCCGCCTGGGCGACCTGGACACGTGAAAACAAGTGTTTCGCTCAACACATCCTCAACACATCTTCATCCTAGACATCCGCCAGGGCGACCTGGGCACGTGAAAACAAGCGTCTCTCTCGAGACATCCTCAACAAATTCTCATACTAGACATCTGCCTGGACGATCTGGACGCGTGAAAACAAGCGTCTCGCTCGAGACAACCTCAACAAATCCTGATACTAGACATCTGCCTGGGCAACCTGGAGGCGTGAAATCAAGCGTCTCGCTCGAGACATCCTCAAGACCTGGGCACGCGAAAACAAGCATTTCGCCTGAGACATCCTCTGAATTCAGGTACCCAGGAGAGGAACGATCTATAGAACAGAACAGACGTTTCGCTCGAGACATCCTCAACAAATTCTGAAAGACAAGCGTTTCGCTCGCGACATCCGCAACACACAGAAATGCTTACTTTACCCCTTGTTTTATCGATCGGAATTGTTTCGCTAGGGACATCCTCAAAATTCAATACCGCCGGCCCTCGCGACCTCGTTATTTATCGCAAAATAATTCCGCTAACCCTATGCAAGTCGAGGCCGGGGGTGAACATCTAAAAGAGAACCCTGGGCCGGAGCCCTTTCTGGGAAAATGGGCGTAGCACAGTCCGAGATGCGAGGTGAGCGGAGGGAAAGGACGAAGCCGCACGTGGAGCTCGGGAGATGATCCGAAACTGCGGCCGATTGAAGCGTACAGTGAGGAGCCAGAGGTGTACGATCGCATAGCTTCTGAACCGTTGTTGGCCTCGATGAACCCTTTGGGGGGTGGGGAGTCTTGGACATGTTTTGACCCATCTTGAGTTGTGTAGTGGCGTGTGCAATAATGCTGGGGCGATCATGGGCGTCTTGCGGCTAGCCGAAATCGAGGAAAGACCTTCTGGCGTAGTTTCGTCGATCCCACTCCACAACCACCTTGACCCTCGGCCCACCCCGCCGCCGTGCCTGGATCGTGGAGAAGAGGTATCTCGCACGCATCTTGGGGTCCCCTGGAGGGCTTCCAGGGTTCCCTCGGAGGCCCCTCCTGGGGCATCTCGACTAAATGTCGGAGGCCTCTCGCAGGAGGAGAAGAAGGAGGAGGAGGAGGAGGAGGAGAAGAATGAGGAGGAGGAGGAGGAGGACGACGAGCAGGAAGAGGAGGAGGAGAAGGAGGAGGAGGAGGAGGAGCAGCAGCAGGAAGGAGGAGGAGGAGGAGGAGGAGCCTCCTGGGGTTCTCTTGGGGCCTCCGGGGGAGCTTCTCGGGTGCCTCTCGGGGGCCTGAAGGCGGTCTCCGGGGGCCATCTTGGAGAAGAGGGCCCCAGGCCCCCTCGAGCTGCCCCTCTTGTGCAGCCGCTGGGCCCTCTTGAGGACCTCTTGGAGGCGTCTGGGGCCCCTCTTAGGGGGCTTGGAGGCCGCGTGGGGACGATCTGGAGACCGCAGCAGCGAGCGCGCGAAAATCAGACCAAAACAGCTGTTGTTCTACGATCGGACAGCTTGGGCCCGCCCCCAGGGTCCGCCAAGACATCCCAACAGGCACCCAAGAAGGCTCCAGGACAGACTTTGGGGCCATCTGACGGCATGCTGAAGTATGAAGACACTAGAAAACCACGACCCAAGATCCGGCAGCGCCCAGGAGCGTCCAGGAACGCTCCAGAACTCTAGGGATCTGGAGGCTGGGCCCCGTAGAAAGTTATGGCTTGGAAATTCGGAGAGACATGAGGACATTCACTGCCTACAGTCATTAACATCAGCGAAAGCATCGACAACCAGCATCCCCATGATTGATATCATCCCGCACGATTTCCCAGGCACTGGATTTCATCCAAGATCATGTTTGATTGTTTGACGGTCCCAGGGCCCCAAAACGGCCTTCACCTGGTCAACCTTGCAGCAGCAATAAAAAGCGCCATGGTTCCTCCTCCTGCTCCTCCTCATCATCCTCCTCCTGAGAACGCCGGAGGTCTGAGGACACAGCTGCTCCACTCATCACTGTCACCGTCCTTTCTCGTTCCCGCCCTCCCCCCCGCAGCTCCCTCGTCGACGCGAACGTCTTCGCCACAAGGAGACTCAGGGTGTTCAGCCTCGGAGGAGGCGGCGGGTGGGGCCACTGCCCTCGCTGATGGGGGAAAACGGGGGGGAGAAGGATGAGATGGAGGAGGGGAAGGAAAAGGAGGAGGGGGCAGAAGGAAAAGGAGCGAAGGGGGAGGGGGGAGGGCGGGAGGGAGGACCGGGAGGGCCGTTTAGCAAAGGCCAAGTGTCGGGTCCGGGTAGTTCTTCCTCCCTTCATCAATCTTCAGGATCAGATGTCGCGAGGAAATCTCGGGCGGAGCTCCCAGCCCGCCCAACCAAAAGCTCCGTTGGTGCGACGAGGACTCGCGATCCTAGACTGGTGGCTTACCAAGGCGAGGTATGGAGAAGACGAAGGAGGAAGAGGATGGCAAAGAGGGAGGAGGGAGGGAGAGATGCTCCCTCTCTTCCTCCCTCCCCCCGTCCTCCCTGAACTCCTCCTCATCTTACTCCGCCATTTCAGGTTTAGGGGGACATTCAGGAAATAGTTGGTTCCAAAAAAAAGTGTCCTTGGAAACTCGCAAGAGGAAGTATATGTGTGCACACCCATCGGCAAGATGAAATGTCGCGCGCGCGTGCTCAGCGCTCGCACGCACGCGATCCCAAGACGTCCCATGGCCACAAAGTGCTTCCAGGAAGGCCTTAGGCCACGGACGGTAGCGCCCAGACGACCCTGAGATGATGCCACCCCAACACGATCCTGCCATGGCTTCTGGGCCGTCCCGGGCTGGCTCGAAGATGACCAAACACATGCACAAGGAGTGACGCCGAGATGGCCCGATGGCAACAAGATGAATCCAAGTGCCCAGGGGGGGCCCAGAATGACCACGTGACGCCTGCGGGATCCAAACATGACTGGGACATGATCTCAAAATGACCTCAGGACGACCCGAACACGGCAGGAATGCTGCAACTTCTGAGCCTCATCTTACTTCGTGCCGATCCCAGCATGGCGGGATCCGTAAACGACCCAGGATCTTGGTTTACCCTATTTTTGATGGGTTGGATTTTGACCTTCCTGAACTAAAACTATATTATCAAAATGGAATAAGCTACGCGGGATCCTGCCCGGCCCACGGAAGACTACATTGCTAGGTTTCTACGGGGGTAGGGGGTTCGGACGGGGCGTCGTTTACTTCCGCCGACTTCCGCAGGCCTTCCGACGGCCTTCCGCCAACTTCCGCCTCGTTTTACTTCCGTCGACTTCCGCTGGCGAGCGTCGTGACAAAAATTCAAGGAACTTTCATTGGGCCGATGCGGGTCCCAGCCCGTCTCATGAGGCAGAGCTGCACAACAGACCTGCAAACCGGCGAACACAGTTGGAGACAGCGGGCACCCTCGCGCAATAGAGAGGTGAGGGGGAACCCCGAACTCTACGGTAGACCCTTGAAGCCACTGCCTCAGATGCGCAGCCAGCACGTGTTCCCGCTCAAAGGCGCTGGCAACCATAAGCCAATCGACATGGGACTCAGGACTCTGCGAAACTGGTCGTGCAAGCACAAAGCCAGCCTATGGGGATGAAGAAGCCAGAGGGCTTAAAAAGCAACAGGGGCCACCTTCCCATGCTTGAGCTGGGTGCCAGGCACCTCTCCTTTCCGCAGCCTTCTGACAAGTCCTCCTCGTCTCCCTCATCATCCTCCTCGACCCCCCGGCGGCCCCACCTCGTGGGCGTGATCTGGGCGCCCGGGCCCTTCGAGCGCTTCGCGCGCTTGCGGGGCGGCCCATCCTGCGGGGGAGGGGAGCAGGAGGACAGGGAGGAGGAGAGGCACAAGAGGAGGCGAGGTGGGGGAACAGAAAAAGGATAGAATGAGGAAGGATGATGTTGATGTTGATGATGATGATGATTGTGGTGTCGATGATGTGGTTGATGCTGTTTGATGATGTGTATGATGTTGTTGTTGCTATCGTTGATGTTGTTGATGTTGATGTTGCTCCAAAACCCTCTATCGTCCCTCCCTCCGTCACTCCTCTTTCCTCCCAGGGGAAAGGAAGGCGGGAAGGAGCAGCAGTAGCAGGAGAGAGAGAGAGAGAGAGACGAGGAGGAGGAGGGGGAAAGCGAAGAGAGAAGAAGAGAGGAGAGGGGCGGAGAGGTGAAAGCCGCCCAGCCACGACCGAGGAAGCTGCATTCCTGACCCACCCTGGGGGGGATCGTGCCGACGATCCCTCGGGAGGGCTCGTCGAAGCCAGTGGGCCCCCCGTGGGGCTAAGGAGCACAGCTCCCTCAGTCGTGGCTGGCCTGGCGAGGGAGGAGGGGGAGGAGGAGGAGGAGGAGGAGGAGGAGGAGGAGGAGGAGGAGGAGGGGGAGGAGGAGGAGGAGGAGGGAGGAGGAGGAGGAGGAGGAGGAGGGAGGAGGAGGAGGAGGAGGAGGAGGAGAAGAAGGGATGCAAGCCAGGTGCGCACGCGCCACATCGCACAGTCGACCCTTCCCGCCAGTCCCTTCCCGCTGCGACGAATCCCTTTCTGCTCGCACGGTCGGGTCACGGATTGGACCCTGATCCCTGAATGGCACTTGCAGCGGGAAGGAGCAGGATAGGGCCAGGCAGCGTGCAGGAAGAGCGGGCGACGCCTGGACACGGTGAAGGCAAGAAGTATCGAACAGCACCCCACAGGGAACAGGCATGCAGGAGTTGGGGAAGGAGCATGAAAGAGGAGGAGGACGGCGAGGAAGAACGAGGAAGAAATTAATATAAGGTGCCCCCAAAACAGCCGTTCGGGAAGAGGCCCCAAGACCAAAGTGGCCGAAGACGGTCCAAGACAGCCCCCAAGACGCCCCCCGAATACCTCGAAACCTGTTAAGAAACATGTGTTGTTCAATAGCTTCGGCTGTCTCGCCGTTTAGCTTCTGGTGGGCTTCTCGTGTCCCAAGATGGCTCCAAGTTCGCCCAAGAGGGCTCCACGAGGGCCCCAAGATTGCCACAAGATGGCCCCAAGATGAGCCCAACAGTGGGGCTCAGTGGGTGTTACCCCCTGGACTCATCCGCAGTGTTCCCCGAACCTCAGTAGCAGCCCGGTGGGGAGTATCGCCAGGGGGCGGTCTGAGGATAAGCTTCTCCAGGAAGGACGGCAACCTCACTGCCGCCGCCCGCCGAGAAGATGCAAGGCACGTCACGAGGGTACAAGGCAAGGCTGCAAAGCCCGTACGCGTCCAACTACAGCAAACGCAAGGGTAACCCTTGGCCTGGTGGCACGGGAAACAGCAAGGATGCCAAGGGCACCCGTGGAAAATTCGGCCATCACCAAACTCACAGGCGGTTACCGCACGTATATGTTAGCCAGCGTGGATCTCAAACAGTGTGTTTCTAGCCATATAGGTTGTGCAATATACGTGGGGCAGTATACGTGGTGCAATGTATGTTGTGCCACCTTTGTTGTGCATAGTGTGCTTTGCATTAGAAGTGGCGCGCCCTTATGAAGTGCAATGTATGTTGTGCAAAGTATGCGGCATCATCTACGTGGTGCAATACCTGCGGTGAAACAATGGTCTGCAATACATGGTGTGGACGTTATGCTGTGTAAGATATGTTGTGCACTCTATGTGATGTAATTGATCTATGGTATGCAATATGTGACGCAAACACTGTGGTATAATAACTGCTGTGCAATACATGTTGTGCAGTCTATGCGGTGCAGTATATGGTGTGCGATCTACGGGGTGCAGTATATGTGGTGTTATTTATGTGGAGCAACATATACGGTACACTATATGTTGTGCATTATGCGTGGTGCAATATAGGTGGTGCAGACGTCGAGGTCAATAAACGTTAAGCAATACAGGTGGAACAATGTGGTGCAGTGTACCTATATCTAGATAAGTGTATATATAAATAGATTGCACAATCCACGTAGTGCAATCTACAGTGTCCAAGATATGGTGTGCACTGTATGCGGTGCGATCTATCTTGTGCAGTCCACTCTGCGGAACTTGAAATCGTCATCTCCACTGCTCGCGCAAACATCCCACCCACCCACCCGCAACTTGGTTTCCAAAACCTGTTAAGACCGACTACGACGACACCGACGACAACGACTAGGACGACACCGACGACGTCTCCGACGACTTCGACGACGACAACGACGCCGACGCCGACGACGACGAAGACGACGACGACGACGCCAACGAACGCGACGACGATGGAGGAGGAAGGACGACGACGGCGACAACGACGGCAACGACGACAACGACGAGGGAGGGAGGACGGCGACGACGCGAACGACAACGAAGGAGGAAGGACGGCGACGCCGACGACGACAACGACGAGGGAGGAGGGAAGACGACGACGACAACGACGACGACGACGGCGACGAAATAGGAGGGACGACGACGAGACGCCGACGACGGACGACGACGACGACGTGGGAGGAGGAGGAAGGACGACCACGGCAACGAGGGAAACAACCACGACGCAAAAGAAGACGACGACGACGAACACGAGAAAAGACGGAGGACGACGTAGGCGACGACGACGACGACGCGGGAGGAGGGAGGACGGCGACGACGACGACGACGCAAGAGCGCGCGCGCACGCTTTTTGTTGAAAATCCGTGTTGCGAAACCTTGGGTTTTTGTAGGTTTTTTGAACTCACGATTTTGAAATCCTTCCGAAACCGATGGGTTTTGAAGGTTTTCGGCATACTTCCGCGACGACGCGCGCGTCTGCACTTCGTCCCATTTTTTGCAGAGGATTCTCGCGACGGCACACGCGCAAGGGCGTTCGACAGATTTCGACATGCGCGCGCGCGAAGCCCGTTTGGTAGCATTTTGTGAAGATCTTGAAAACCTATGGTTTTCTCAAGATTTCGCAAGAGCTCGCGCGGAAGCTTTTTTTGCGAATCAGTGTTGCGAAACCATGTGTTTTTGTATGTTTGTTTGGAAACTCGATTGCGAAATCCTTCAGGCACCGAAGGTTTTTGAGGGATTTCGGCATGCGCGCGACGACGCGCGCGTGCGCACTTCGTCCCTTTTCTTGCAAGGGATTCGTGAAAAAGTGCTATGTTAGAACAAAAAAGTCACCGCATAATCTTTTTTACAAGGGAACCTCAGGGGGGGGAACCCGGCCTGGCTGGGATGATATGATTCCATATTTAGGATGGGGGAGTGTGCATAATATATCTATATATGAAATTATACTATCCCAGAGGGAAGCGATAAGTCCGGGGGGGTAGAGTCTATTCTCTATTTAGAAAGGAGAATCGATATGGTACTATCAATGCTATGCAACATATGGTGTGCGATCTATGTGGTGCGTAATCTATGTGGTGCAATGTATGTGCTGCAACCTATGTCATACAATCGATGTTTTGCAATCTCTGTTGTGCAATATGTGTGGGACAGCGACGGGGCGGCGACGGCGCCCACATAGCCGCCAGACCGACAGAAAGGCCCAGACGACGGGCGGCGACGAGGCGGCGACAGGGCGGCGACGGCGCCAACATAGCCGCCAGACCGACAGACAGGCCCAGCTCCTTAACAACAAGGAGGAAACCCCAAGTGTAAGCACTGTCTGGGGAACTATACACAAATCCTGGCGAGGTACGTCCTGGGCCCAGCGCCAGCCTGGCCTTCATCGCTGTGCCGCTGTGCCACCTGCGCCCCTCCATCCCCGCTGTCTCGTAGGGCTTCTGTACTATTCGAAGGGGCCCCCGCTCGTGGTAGCGCCTTCCCGCGTGCATCGCCCCCGCTCACGAGGGCTCACGGGCGCGCAGATTCGCCCCTGACGCTCCCCGGGGCGTCGAAGACACCCAGGATGGCTTGCATAACGCACCCCCCCCCCGCCACCCCACCCTCTCTCTCAGGCGCACGCAGCACTGCCGGGAGATGGCGAGAGTCTCCCCGCATCCCTGCGAGGCCTCTGCCAGCAGACCAAAAAAAGGCACGGGCGTGATGGGCAGATTTTCCACCACCACTACAATAGGCAGGAGAGGGAGGAGGAGGAGGAGGAGGAGGAGGACGACGAGGAGGGGGAGGAGGAGGAGGAGAGGAGAAGGAAGAGGAGGAGGAGGAAGAGGAGGAGGAGGAGGACGACGACGAAGAGGAGGAGGAGGAGGAGGAGCTCCCCATGGTGGTGGTGGTGGTGGTGGTGGTGGTGGTGGTGGTGGTGGTGGTGGTGGTGGTGGTGGTGGTGGTGGTGGTGGTGGTGGTGGTGGTGGTGGTGGTGGTGGTGGTGGTGGTGGAAAACTGGCCCGCCAGGGCGTAAACGTTCGG